AACAGATCTCTGAGCCCATGCAACATAGCAGGCCCACAGTGCAGGAAAACTTAGGGGACCCAGTGCCATGGGCTGTGGTTCAGTTTGAGGGAAATCTAGAAATTAGTCATAGGTGAAAGCTATAGGGTCAAGGGGAAGGTGCCCTTGAGTTGCTCCAAGGTCGTGGGAAGCTAACTGAGACCAGCAAGGCCTAAGACCCAGAGCCAGGGTCCAAAGCTCCTGAAATCTTCCTCTAAAAAAGGAGTGTCTCAAATAAAAGTTATGAAGCTAGTCATGTTTGTCTTCAGAGTTTTCCCTACCACCAATAGTGCTTTCTTTCTTTTTTATTTTTAAATAATATTTTATTTCCCCCCAGTTATATATAAAGACAATTTTCAACATTCATTTAAAAAAACTTTTGAGTTCCAAATTTTGTCTTTCCTGCCTCCTCCCTGTGACAGTAAACAATTTGATAATAGGTCATATATGTTCAATCATGAAAAACATATTACCAGATTAGTCATGTTGTAAAAGAAGATATAGACCCAAAGGAAACACACACACACACACACACACACACACACACACACACACACACAATACAGAAAGTCAAAAATAGTATGCTTCAATCTGTATTCAGACTCCATTGGTTCTTTCTCTGGAGATGGATAGCATTTTTCCATCACGAATCCTTTGGAGTTGCCTAAGATCAATGTATTGCTGAGAATAGCTAAGTCATTCACAGTTGATCATCATACAATATTGCTGTTACTGTGTAAATAGTTCTTGTTCTGCTCACTTCACTGTGTATCAGTTCACGTAAATCTTTCCAGGTTTTCTGAAGTCTGCTTGCTCATCATTTCTTATAGCACAATAGTATTCCATTACATTCATATACCATAACTCTGTCAGCCATTCCCCAGTTAATGGGCATCCCTTCAATTTCCAATTCTCTGCCACCACAAAAAGAGCCACTAAAAATCTTTTTGCACAAATAGGTCCTTTCCCGTTTTCACAATGGTGTTTTCTGTAATCTTTTCCCCAGTCCTTCATCAGTCCTTACTCTTAGGAAAGAAGATAATCTTTACACTCCTTTCTAGATGTGACATTCCAGGTGAAAATGATCTGATATGAGCCACTTACACCTTGATGCGAAGTCCCTTTTTTCCTCTTAAGAGTATTTGCATATTGAACTTCATTTCTTACAGTGGAAAAAAAAGCCTCAGTTTCTGGAAAAAAAGATTTCATGCTAAGCAAGTGAGGGAGGGGCTTGGGGGAGAGAGGAGGGCCATCCTAGGACTCCTGACATGACAAGTCTGGCTGTGTCCTTGCCAGGGAAACTAATTACCTTCCAAATCTTATGTGAAAAGAGGAATGAAAGGAGTAGGATTCTGTAGGGTCCTTGGAGGCTGGTTAGAGACTTCTTCTGCCTTCATTTTCAGAGGCACTAGATGAGGATAGGGGTTCACAATAGATAGAGGGGTGGGCTTCCAGCCAGGAAGACCTGTATTCAAATTCTGCACTAAGATAGATGGAGTCCTACACTTGGCATCAGGAGTAACTGAATTGGAATCTTGTCCTGGACACTTAGTTGCTGGGTGAGCATGGGCAAGCCACCCAACCCTTCCAAGCCTCAGATTCCTCACCTATAAAATGACAAGCCCTCTTTGGCCCTCCCCCAAAAGGTGGACATCAGCTTCCCTTACAAGCACTCAGACTTATAAGGCAGAATTCATAAATCAGGCTTTATTTACTAAAGAATGTGAATCTTAGCCTGTAGAGAGTTAAGAAGCACTCTCTTTCCTTTACAATGCATCTTCATGTCCCCTCTTCAGGGCCCTATATTGACCTTGCAGGCTAAAATGCTACCTTGGGTAGGGCTGCCAGGAAAGGGAAAGAACTTGGGGTTTTCCAGGGAAGTAAGGGTTCCCTTCTTTCTATCCATGAGCTCTCCTCCCTTGGGTCCTCTATAGTTCCTTTAACTTATACTGCTTCCCTGAGTAGAACCCCAGAAAAGGGGAGATAATGAGTTTCATACTCCTGCTAGCTACCCTTCCTTCTGGTGTACTATTTCTTCCAAATGAAACTCGATGTCAACAATCATTGGTCCAAGCTCCCTGCAGGATGGCTGCCCATCGCTATCCTCTACTCCCAGACAGAATCATGATCCTTCTTTTTCATGCTGCTTCTTCAGCTACCATTCCTCACTTCTGGAGCTCCACTCATTGATCATAAATTTAAACTTAGAAGGGACCTCGTAGTCCAACTAATCCATTTCCTGATTTTACAGATGAGAAAACTGAGGCCTGGAGAGTTTAAGTGATTAACTTGTGATCACCCAGTGTCAGAGGCAGGATGTAAATCCAGCTCTTTCTTCTGCCTCTCCTCACAGATGCATTTTGATCTGCCTAAATCTTTAGCAGTTGCTCCTTTTCCCCAAGAGATGGTGCCAGCACTCCAGCAATTTTGAGAATTATATTAGCTCATTAATTGTACAGCTCTTCTAGGTCTTCTGGGCAAGGATGGCTTAGGTTATTTACTCCTTTCTTTTACACAGGGACCTACTGACCTATCCTATAAACAAAAAACTGAAGTGTGATTATCAAAACTGTTGCACTCTCCTTAATGATAAGTTGTCTGGTGATTTATCTACATTATTAACATTTTTTTCTCCATCTCCAGGTTGATCTTGATGGGTCAACCTCTTTGTACAGACTTTTAATAGCTGAGACACTAGAATAAGAAAGGGTCTAATGTGTTCAGATTGTTGCAAGTCAAAGGATTCTAGCTAGCTACTTGTGGCTAGATTTTAGGAGTGCTGCTATGAGGTCAGCTCTTCTGGCTATAGGCAGAGTTAGGAGATTAGGGGATTAAATTTTGAATTCACATAAACACTTTCTTCTTGCAAAGTATAACTTTGAGGAAATGTCCCTTCCACTAATTACCTAGACTAATCTGTTCTAAGAGTTGCCCATTCAAATGGAAGTGACCCTTATCTTACCCCCAGGAGGCTAGAACAGTGTATCTTTCCATTATTAATGGCACTAGACATAGTTCTTGGCATTTAATTAACTTTTAAAGGTTCTTATTTTTCTCTTCTCATCTCATTTTCCAGCCTCCATGTGATGATTTCAACATAAACAGAAGCTTGGGAGACTGGTATATAGATGGTTGGCAAATTTTGTGAAAGGGAGATTAAAATGTCAAGGGACTGGTGAAACTGGAGCACACAGGCTTTCCCACTCTGTCTCAGATTGTGTGGTAGAACCAAGAAATCTTCTAATTAGTTCACAAGTGCTGTTCTAACAGCTATCTTTTTCAAATTTCAAAAACAAAACAAAACAAACTCAACCAACCTCTCAGAACTTCAGAACTGGACAGCAACCATACCTGAAACTCCAACTCAGAAAGAGCCCTTCCTCTTCACCGTAGGAAACTCTACTCCTTTAGAGAGGATGTTATGCCATCACTGGCATTTTCCATGTTTTTGGCCTTGATAACATGCCAGATAAGTAACCTTCAGTTAATAGTAATATCTTCTGAGTTTACTTTTTTTTGTTATATTTTGATGGTCTTTTTAAAAAAAATAATTTATTTTGAATTATCAACAATCATTTCCATAAGCTTTTGAGTATATATTTTTTTTTGGCTAGGCAATAGGGTTAAGTGACTTGCCCAGGGTCACACAGCTAAGCAAGTGTCAAGTGTCTGAGGCCAGATTTGAACTCAGGTTCTCCTGACTCCAGGGCCAGTACTCTATCCACTGTGCCACCTAGCTGACTCCAAGCTTTTGAGTTTTAAATTTTTCTCCCCCTCCCTCCCCACCTCCTTCTCCAGGATGGTGTGCAATCTGATATAGGCTGTACATATACATTCCTATTAAACATATTTTCTCATTAGTGAGGTTGTAAGTAAGAATTAGAACCAATAGGAGGAATCACCAGAAAGAGGAAACAAAACACAACAGAAGAAAAAAAATAGCAAATAGTATGCTTTGATCTGCATTCAAACTCTTTAGTTCTTTCTTTGGATGTGGATAGCGTTTTCCATCACTAGGCCTTTGGAGATGTCTTAGATCCTTGCAATGCTGAGAAGGGTTAAGTCTATCAATATTAGTCATCACATAAAACAATAGGTTAGAAATTGACCAGGTAAAGAAGAGGCTGCAACCTCCCAGAAAGGATGGAGACCGTTGGCGTTCTTCCATCAGTTGCTAGTCTCATCTGCTCAGCACTGGTTCTGCTCAGGCCATTCCTGCCCTCCAAAATCTTCAGTGGCTCTTTATTGTGGAGCTTACTCAAATTTTGCTTGGCTTTCATACTGGGCTAAACCTCCCCAATCTGGTGCCCTTCTGCCATTCCAACCTTATCCCATCTTCTTCCATGTGCTCTGTGCTTTGTCAGACTGAACCAGGCCTTGTACCCTGAAGATGCCCTGCTCTTCCTACTTCCAAGCCTCTGTTCACACAGTTCCCTGTGTTTGGAACATCCTTCTTCCTTCTCTTCCTGTTGAGTCTCTACCAGTCCTTTGAAGTCCAGTTCAAATATCACCACCTCTAGGGAGCCTTCTTGCAATTTTCAGTTCTTTGCCACCACAAAGAGATCTGCTCTAAACATTTTAGAACATGTAAGTTCTTTTCCTATACAGCTTCTTGGAGCCACAGGTGAGAGTTGGGGGAATCTTGATTCTGGATATCAGAGGTGGACAAGCAGCTATCAAAAGGGCTAGCTGGGTAGGGAACCTGTAGCGCTAAGGCCATACCTACACTTCTAGGTCCTTAAGTGCAGCTTTTTGACTGAATCCAAATTTTACAGGACAAATCCTTTTAGGATTCACTTATATTCATTCATATTTAGGATTCAGTCAAAAGGCTGCACTTAAGGACCTAGAAGCTAACATGTGGCCTTAAGGCCTCAGGTTTCTCACCATTGGGCTAGGCAGTCCTCACACCAAAGTTTTTTTGTCTTCCCTGGACACATCCTATTATTCCCCCCCCCCCGCCCGCCACCCTCCTCCCACCCCTACTCCCCTCTCCCCCACCAAGAGGGAAAGGGGACACAAAAGAAGGCACTGCTCTCCAGTCATGCTGCTCTACCTATCCCTTCCTGTATCAAGAACGGATAGAAGATTCTGGTGACTTATGCGAAAGTTGGACCTCTCCAGGAGGGGCAAGTGGGTCCCTCCTGCTTCTCCGTCCTCTTCCTTGAGCTGGACACTGTGGAATAATATCTTCTGTCAACAAAACAAATCAATTGTATTATAAGGGTTAGCAATATTTTGATAAAGTAAATGTAATACATTTGCAAATGAAGAAATAAGAAATAAAAACCACTAGAATGTGGACCTGGTCTCAGGAACCAGGGATAGCCAATCCTTGGATGTCTTAGTCTGCTCCCTTACTCCCTTGGCCTTTACCCAGCTAACCTGACCTCATACCCTGTCCCTTCCCCAGGCCTACCCACCCACAGGCTGACTCAAGGAATTAAGTAATTTTGATTTGAATAAAACATTAATTAATGATTTAGGGGTGGATTGGACTTTGCCTCATCTGAGTCTCATTTATCTGCTTATTGAAGCAGCCTGGTCCTAGATGCCAGCTCCTCTTCCCAGCATCCTGGCAACTCTACTCCCTGTCACTGCCTCCAGCTCCTCTATCCTAAGTGAGGCAGCCTCCTCCCCATGCTCCTGCCCCTCCTTCGTTCTCAAAGAGGACCATGACATCAAGGAGATGATGACATGACTTGCAATTGTCTTTGATTTGAGTGAGGGAGGGTTGTCACCAGCCTCACTTTCTCCTCCAGAGCCATCTGGATCCAGTGGCCAGATATTCATCAGGAAGACTAGAGATGGCTCAGGTCCTGCCCCTTGTAAATTGAGCCCTGAGACTGAGGCCGGATAGCTGGGGCTTCCTACAAGAGTTGTATCCTGGACCAGGCTGCTTCAATAAGCAGATAAATCAGACTCAGATGAGGCAGAGTCCAATCCACCACTAGAAAACATTGATTATTTTTTTATTCAAGTAAAAATTACTAAATTCCTTGAGTCAGCCTGTGGGTGGGCAGGCCTGGGAAAAGGACAGGGTATGAGGCCAGGTTAGCTGGGTAAGGACCGAGTAAGGGAAAACAGGCTAAGACATCCGAGGTCTGATTGGGCTTGGTTGCTGTGACCAGGTCCACATTCAAGTTTTGAAGGGAAGAGCTCTGGGAATGAGATAGATCAAGTCAGAGTTTTTGAAGGTGAAATAGACCATCCCTAAAGTTGGTAGATCAAGTCTTCCTGCCTCTTCTGGTACCTGACACTTTAGGGTCATAGATGTGAAGGAGGCACTTCTCTGGGAAAAGAAGGAAGTATATGAGATCAAAAGGTGAAAGAGGAACCCCCAATTCCTTTGGGTATGGGAAGGAAGCCTATTGTCCCTGCCTATTCTTCTAGGGCTACAGCTAGGGAGGCATGGGAGTCTCAGCTGTGAATCACATGAAAAGGATCTGCTGGGAGATTGGAACCTCGTGACTGGGAAGGGGAGTTAGTCTGGAATACCAGAGGCTATAGTAAGGGAAGAGAGTGGGGAGGAGAAAGGAGAAGGTGAGATCCTGTTACTCTTTTTATCCTAACAATGAGATACTTAGTGAGATTATTCTAGGTTCCTTCTCTCTACTTCTAAGTTCTCAGGCCCATTTCTTGCCCCTGTTATTCCACTGAATCTTGGGAAGTCAGGAAACCTCACCTCCCCTAACAATACAGATTTGAACTAAATTATTTTCTTGATGATAAAACATTTTAAAAGAAAGTATAACTGATTTTCTAAAGGATAAAGGAATGGACTTGGCATTTCGTTGGTCTAGGAAATTCTGGAGAAGAACTTTCATTAACATTGCTGGTCTGTGCCTCCTCTGCTACCTCTCCCCTTAGAGAGCAAGGAGAGATAGATGACTAACCCAGGGTCACACATTCAAGATGTGTGAAAATAAAAATGGAAAAGAATGCACAAGAATCAAATTAGGGAGAAGATAAAAATAAATGATATAAAATAATAAAATATTAAGGAAATGAATTTAAAATAGAAATAAGAAAAAACAAGAATGTGTTTTCTAAACAAATTTGAATTGAAAAGACCCAATTCAACTGGTTTAATAAAAACCTTCCTGGCAGAGGGCAGAGTAGAATGCCTGACAATTGAAGGGGCATAGCCTCAGGCAACAGGTGACAAATGAGGGAGACTTGGAGTCTCTACATGGAATTGAAGTAGATGTCCTACTGCATTCAGGATCTGACTTTTGGGGAAGCCCCAACTATCTCCCCACCCTCAATCTCAGGGCCTTAGTTTACCGGGGCAGAAGCATGGGAAGGAGGCTGCCTCACTTAGGCAGAGGAGCTGGAGGCAGTGACATGGAGTAGCATTGCCAGGATGCTGGGGAGAGGAGCTGGCATTTAGTGTCAGACTGCTTCAATAAGCAGATAAATGAGACTCAGATAAGGCAAAGTCCAATCCACCCCTAGAAATCATTGATTAATGTTTTATTCAAATCAAAATTACTTAATTCCTTGAGTCAGCCTGTGGGTGGGTAGGCCTGGGGAAGGGACAGGGTATGAGGTCAGGTTAGCTGGGTAAAGGCCAAGGGAGTAAGGAAGAGCAGACTAGGACATTCAAGAATAGACTGGGACTGGTACCTGAGACCAGATCCACATTCAAGGACTGAAGGGAACAGCTCTAATAGTAGGCTGCCTGGCCAAGGGCAGCCCCAGCAATCTCCATCCCTCCACCTAGACCTAGAAAGTAACCCAGAAACTGGTTCTTGGATGGGGGTTTGTGGAGGATTAGGCTGAGGTGAGAACATGGCTAAGAGGTTTCTACCCAAGAGTCCATCTTCCTAATTCCCAGTGGATAATACTTCTTGATCCAACCCAGTATCACAGAGATCACTCAGGAGTTTCTCTGTCATCCCAGCAAACCCCAGGTCCCTCAGGCCAGATCATAGGTTCAGAGCCAAGGGAGGGGCCCTACTCCAGCAAATCAGGGATCCTCAGATCCCTCTTACAGCAATAATCAAAGGGTCTGGTGGGTAATGGAAGGATTAAAGGCCTAAGGACAGGGCTTTCTCTTACCTCTGGCTCTCTGGAGTTGTATTTGGTGGAAGATATAAATCACAAAGAGGGAACCAATGAAGACCGCCGGTAAAACAAAAATAATCTTTTTATGAAGTGTCTCCTCAGATGTGGGGATACTCTCTGAAAGTAAGTCCCCAAACTCCATTACTTTGGGAATCAGAAAGGGAAACCCTGCTCCCTCATCCCTGTGACCCAGTTTATGGTGGGAGTATTGAGGGCATCGGGATTCAGGAAATCCTGGGCAAGTATGGTGACTTTGTGCCCTGATGATGCCTTCTTCCTCCCTTCCACCAGCCTTTAAACATCCCCCAAAAAACAAGCTTCCCCAGGACTTCAGAGAAGAGAAAAATTAGAAGACAGCTTGGAGAGAATCTAGCCTAGATGCCTCAGTTTACAGAGAGGAAAATGGGAGAGAGAGGCGTTTCATCCTTCATCTTGTAAGTCACAGAGACAGGCCTGAAGCCTGGGTCGTCTGACTCCCAATTCAGGCCTCTTCCCACAACCTCACAGCTGTGTCCTTATAGATTCAGAGATTTTCAGGGTATGATTGGACCTTAGGTCACATCTAGTCAACCCCATCATTAGACAGAGAAGAGAGCAGAGAGAGGAAGAGACTTGTCCAAGGGGTTACATGGAGGTCATGACAGAGACAGGACCAGGCCCCAGGTCTCCTGATTCTGGAGGATGCTACTCTCTTCTGGGTTTGGTTCTTACATCCCCATTGAGAAGCTCTCTCTGGCTCTCAGCTGAGCAGCCTGGACTCCAGCAGCCCTGGGGTCAGCCCTCCACTAAATTGTCACAATTGTCCATTGTGCTCTCTGGACCTTGGTTTGACCATCTATAAAAGGAGGGGATTGAGGGTGGCAATATGATATAGAAGAGAAACAGCCCCTGCCTTGGAAAATCAGAAGATCTGGTTGCAAATTGTGACTTGTCATTTGGTGGCTAATTGAACTTGACAGGTCATTAGGCTTTCTCTTTCTCTATAAATAGAGGAGGGGCCCTGGATAACCTCTGAGGTCCCTTCCAGAGATGACATTCTGCAATGACAAAATTGTGTATGTCAGCATCTTTCACCTCTTTTAGTAACCTTCCAGTCCCCCAACCTCCCAGGAGCCTTCACTGTCCTCATCAGTAACATGGACAGTAGAGTAGAGGGTGGGGCCAGGACATTGGAGAGTTATGGGGGAGCCAGATTGTGGAGGACTCTAAGACAATAGGGAGCCATGGAAGTTTCTTGGACAGCTGAAGTGACATGACCGCAGTTGTGTTTTAGGGAGATGAATCTGGCAGTGAGTGCAAGAGAGATTGGTGAAAGGAGGAAATGGAGACCCTCCCTTGAAACAAAAGTGGAAGCTGGATTAGGAGTCAGGAGAACTAGGGTCACATCCCATCTCTGGCACTTGTCAAGGACTTCATCACTAAATTAGTCCCCTTTTGCTTTGGATCTTATTTTCCCAAATGTGAGATGTAAGTTAAATGAAGAATAAGGTCTCTTTCAGTTGCAACTCTAGATTCTAACTGTTCTGCTTAGAGGAGGGCAGCTTTTCAGGAACTAATTAACTGCTCAGCTGTAGTGGAGGCCATAGGGACATGGCAAAGGCTAGGGCCAAACCTGGTCCCCAGTCTAGAAATGTACCCTCCCTGCCTCAGGGCTCTTTCTATAATGCTTCAGAGGAGGGATTTTCTATTAAGGTCCCTACTGAGAGTCTTCTATGGGTCTGCCCAGACTTGTCCTAGGCCCTTGGGGTAGGAAAGGAGCAGGAGAGAAAAGTCAAAACAATGTAGGCCCTGCCCCTGAGGAGCTCACAGTCTAGGTGGGGAAATGAGCTTAACTCCTGTAAAAACGTTTTGTCAATGTAGGGTATGCTTGTGGGGTACAGAGAAATAAGCCCTCCAACTGCTTACAGACCCCATTTCTGACTTCTACCAGATGAACCAGTGTCCCTGGAAAGGGGCCTGATGTCTTCCTTTTCACCCTACAGGCTGAATTGGGAGCAAGAGCTAGAAGTGAAAAGGAGGTCTATTTACCCTTGCTGCCCAGGTGAGCTGCCCCAGGTGGGAAGGGCTGCCTCAGTAGGAGCCAAGGCCTCTGAAGGTTTTCAGCCAGGGGCTGGATGACCATGTGCCCCCAATATTTAGACATTTCAGGGGTTTCCTTTTAGTCACTGGTGGGACTAGGTGGTCTCTGAGCTCCCTTCCAGCTCTGAGGTTCTGTGAGGAAGCTGAGTCCTGGTGAGACAGTGTAGTGTGAGCCTGAGTATGAGGCCTCTCCCTTCCCTGCCTTCATCCTCAGAACTCCTCTGCATCCTCACTCACTCTCTTCTCTTCCTCTGTCCACAAAAGGAGAGGCTTCCCTGCTCATTAAGGCTGATTCCTCTCCTGATGCCACTGATCCTGTACCCTTTCCTCCTTCCTTCTCCTAGGACCCTGCTCTATAATCATCCCCTCTCTTATCTTCAGTGTGTCTCCTTTTCCAGTGGCTCCTTCCCATTGGCCTAAAAATATGGTCATCTTCCCAGTCCTAAGGCTTTCTTTTCTTTTTTTTCATGGTGCCAATTTTAAATAGATTTTAAATTTTAAATTTTAAATAGAATTGCATTTCTACTTGTGTACAGTACTGATAAAGTGCAATGTTGTTCACTTCTCTTCCTCTGCACAAATTTAAGTGTTCAGAATGCCCAGACTTAGTAAATGTTACTTTTAAACTGCTCCTGCTTTGGATACAAATTTGAGTCCTTCAAGTTTTGGAAAGCTGTGTGGAATGCTCTTTCTTCTGGTGTGTTTAGTTAACCTTTTCAATGGTGGGTCCAGAAACAGCACCTCCAGGGAACCCACCAGGCATGTCTCTTGGCAGGCACCTGCACTCTGATATAGCTTAGTGATGATGAGATTGCAGACCTTCTCCAATTCTTTCTGCTGATGCTCAGATTCTTCCTTCTCAGCAGTCTGGTTCTCATCCAGCCAGTTGATTATCTCATTACATTTGTCAAGGATCTTCTGTTTGTCTTCATCACCAATTTTGACTTGCAGTTTTTCATCCTCTACAGTGGCCTTCATGTTGAAAGCATAAGATTCAAGAGAATTCTTGGGAGACACCTAGTCTCTCTGCTTGTCATCCTCAGCCCTGTATGTCTCAGCCTCCTGGGCAATATACTCAATGTCTTCTTCGCTCAGACGACCTTTCTCATTGGTGACGGTGACCTTGTTCTCCTTGCCTGTGCTCTTATGCACAGCAGGAACATTGAGGATGCCATTTGCATCAATGTCCAATGTTACTTCAATCTGAGGAACACCCCTGGGTGCTGGAGGGATTCCTGGGAGCCCAGACTTGCCAAGCAGATTGTTGTTCTTTGACATTGCTCTCTCTCCTTCATAAACCTGAATAAGCACACCAGGCTGGTTGTCTGAATAGGTGGTAAAGTCTGTGTCTGCTTGGTGGGGATGGTGGTATTATGTTGGATCAGAACTGTCATAACTCCACCAGCAGTTTCAATTCCAAGGGAAATAGGAGTGACCTTCAATAACACCAAGTCCTACACATTCTCAAATTTATCTCCAAACAAAATGGCAGCCTGGATGGCCACACCATAGGCAGCAGACTCATCAGGATTGATACTCTTGTTGAGCTCCTTGCCATTGAAGAAGTCTTGCAGAAGCTTCTGGATTTGGGGATGTGAGTGGAGCCCCCCAAGAGGACTATGTCATGAATCTGTGATTTATCTAGCCTGGCATCTCTTAAGGCCTTTTCCAGGGTGCAGTGTGCCATGGAAGAGATGAGTATTCAGCTCTTCGAAATGGGCTCAGGTGATTGATGTATAGAAGTCAATGCTTTCATAGAGGGAGTCAATCTTAATACTGGCCTGAGTCCTGGAAGAGAGGGTATGCTTTGCACATTCACAAGCAGTGTGCAGACAGTGAACAGCCCTCTTGTTCTCACTGATGTCCTTTATGTGTTTTCACTTGAACTTGGCAGTGGAATGGTTGACCATATAGTTGTCAAAGTCCTTCCCAGTGGGTGTCCCCAGCTGTGGACTTGAACTCAAAGATGCCATCTTCAAAGGTAAGAATGGAGACATTGAAAGTGCCACCTCCAAGGTCAAAGATCAACACATTTCTCTTGGCTGTAACCTTTTTCTCCAAGCCATAAGCAATAGCAGCAGTAGTTGGCTCATTGAGACTAGTGATGGTTCCAGCATTTTTGGTGGCCCGATGTTGGGAATTGTTGGCATAGGCTGGTACCATGACCACAACATTTGTGACAGTCTTGCTTCAGCAATTTCTTTCATCTTGGTCAAAACCATAGAAGACACTTCTGGATATAAACTTCTGGTCTCCCCTTTGTACTCCACTTAGACCTTAGGCCTGCCTGCATCATTCACCACCAAGAAAGGCCAATGCTTCATATCTGACTGTACAAGTACATCATCAAATCTGCAACCAATCAGGTGTTTAGCTTCAAAAACTGTGTTGGGGGGGGTTCATTGCAATGTGATTGTTTGCAGCATCACTGATTAAATGTTCTGCATTGGGGAAGTTGACGTAGCTTGTGGTGGTCCTGTGTCCTTGGTCATTAGCAATGATCTCCACTTTCCCATGTTGGAAGACTCCCACACAGTGATAAGTGGTGCCAAGATCAATGCCAACAGTGGGTCCCTTTGACATGATTGCTGGGGACTTGTGGTCACAGCTGACTGCTGTGGAGGAAGAAGGGCTGCTGCTGCACTGAGTAGACCAGTCCTAAGGCTTTTTCATGATATCTTTACCCCTCTCCAGTAACTATCTTTCACTGCTAGAACTGGGGGGAAATTAGTCTAATCCCCAAAGTCTCCAGGGCCTCATACCACACTTTCTCTTCCATGCCCTTCAATCTGACTTTCTCCCTGACACCATTCTGCTGAAATCTTCTCTCTAAAGACAACAGTGGTCTCCCCAAAAGTGGATGTCCTGGAGTTCCTTGGAGTCCTCATTGTCCTTGACCTTTCTGATTGTTATTGGCCAATCTCTTCTGGGACATTTATTGTTCTATCTTCCCCTGGCTGCAGAGACAAGACCCTCTCCTGGTCCTCCTCTTACTTCTCTGATGACTCCTTCCCCATCTCCTCTGTTGGCTCTTTGTCCTCATCTCACCCAGTTAAGGGGATGTTGGCTGAGACTGTCTTTCATCCTCTTTTCTCTCAATACTTGTAATCTTGACAATTTTATTCTCTAAATGTATTTAACTAACAACTCAAACCACGCTACTTTCAGAACTAAATCTCTAGCCCTGACTTCTCTTCTGTGTCAAGGCCTTCCTCTCCACCTACCCTCAGAGCATCGCCTTCTAGATGCCTTTTCAGCATCCCAAACTCTCCATGTCACACACTGAGTTTATATTAGTCCTTCTTCAATCAGTCCTTCTTTCTGATTCATGATTTTAAAATCAGAGGCACCATGATACATCCATTCCACTACATTTGAGGAATCTTTGATGCCCTGTGTCCTTCAACTTGAATATCAAAGGCTCTGCTAATTCTTCTTCATCCTGCCTGTAGGGCCGCTTTCCCAACCTTCCCTTCCTCTCCATTCTCCCTGACACAAGGATTCCTTTCCCCCTGCCTGGAGTCTTCCATTAGCTTCCATACATGATTCGCTACCTCCACTGCCCCCCTGCACCCTCCATCAGCTACCAGGCTCCTCTGCCCTGCACATAGCCCTGCTCAGGCCATTCCTGCCCTCCAAAGTCTCCAGGGGATCTTTATTGTGGAACTTACCCTATTTCCCTTGACTCACCTCCTCACTTTGGTGCCATCTGGCCATAGCCCCCCCTCATCCCACCTTCTTCCATGCGCTCTGTGCTTCAGTCAGACTGGATCACACATTGTACTCTCAAGATGACCTGGTCTTCTGGCTTTCATGCCTTTGCTGACACAGTTCCCTGTGCTGGGAACTTCCTCCTTCCTCTTTCTCTTCTTGTTGAGTTCTCACTAAGCTGTTAAAGTCCAATTCAAATGCCCCCCACCTCTAAGAAGCCTTGCCTGATTCCTGCAACACTAACACCACCTGATCAGGCTCCACACATTATTTCATTTTGCTCCTTTCTCATGCCCTTATCTTGAATTAGTGTGTATTATACTTAGGTCTTATTATCTTAGTTCTTTTCTTTCTTCCTTCCTTCCTCCTTCTTTCTTTCTTTCTTTCTTTCTTTCTTTCTTTCTTTCTTTCTTTCTTTCTTTCTTTCTTTCTTTCTTTCTTTCTTTCTTTCTTTCTTTCTTTCTTTCTCTCTTTCTCTCTTTCTCTCTTTCTCTCTTTCTCTCTTTCTCTCTTTCTCTCTTTCTTTTTCTCTTTCTTTCTTTCTTTCTTTCTTTCTTTCTTTCTTTCTTTCTTTCTTTCTTTCTCTCTTTCTCTCTCTCTTTCTCTCTTTCTCTCTTTCTCTCTTTCTTTCTCTCTTTCTCTCTTTCTTTCTTGGCAATAGGGGTTAAGTGGCCTTGCCCGGAGTTACACAGATAGTAAGTGTCAAGTGTTTGGTCTAAGGCTGGATTTGAACTCAGGTCCTTCTAACTTCAGAGCTGGTGCTCTATCCACTGCACCACCTAGCTGCTCCTCAGTTATTTTCTAAATGAGCAACAGGGTCTGCACACAGTGGGTGCTTGATAAATGTTTTTGGAATTGAACTAAATTATGGCCTATATGATCTACCACTTTATTATACAGCTGGGTCCTGATTAGCTTGCAGAATGAATCCCTCAAAGTGGTCACATTATTTGATTCCCCACTGCATATTCCCATTGGGTTACAATCAATGACTGTATTTCATATAATTTCAAGCCATGTGAATTGGAATACATTCAGTTCACTCTAAGTGGGACCTAGCTGTATACATCAATACCTTAGGTATTGCAACCTTGTGAGTGTGCATCCGGCTAGAATAAATTCTCTTTTGGAATTAAGTTGGTTGGCATAGAGACCTTAAGTCATTTGCCTATGGTCACACAACTAATAATAGTCAAAGGAAGCATCTGGATCTGGGTCTGCTTGACTCCAAATCCAGGATCTTAGCCCCTGAGCAATACTGCTTTTCACTCTCCTCTAGACTGTTTTGGGGGGGTGTTAATCATCATGTCTCCATGGCTAGACTAGAAACTCTTCAGGGGATGAGACCAGATTTTCTTCCCTTCTTTCCTTCACAGCCTCAGCTAGCACAGAGCTGGGCATACAGAAGGAATCTAGTAAATATTTATTACTAGGCCAATGTGGGTGGAAGCTCCATAGATGACAGTCAAGAAGCCCTCAGACATATAGTACCCTGGGCAATGTATGGTTCAGGGTCCCAGATGAGGTGTGGCATATTGTAATTAGAGAAAATAATTATCTGAATTTTGGAGGCCTGGCATATTGGGAAAGCCTCCATAATTGGTCAGTGAGAAACTCCAGAAGGATCAAAGGGAGGGGAGAGAATGTAAGCCATGAGTCAAGGTTCATGTCTCAAAGTAAGCTGGTCCCTTCCTCAAGCACATGATTTCACACAGGCTGTATCCAAGCCATGTGTAGAGGAAAAGAAAATGGCCAAATTTGGAGTAAGAAGAGCTGAGTTTGATCTTCAGGCTGACCCTTTCTAAGTTATATCATTTTGGTCAAAGCATCTCTTTTCTCTGTGCCCCATTTCCCTCATTTTACAAATGAGGGGGTTTTGACTCAATGTTCTTTCAGAAAGAAGTCAGAAACCAAATGAGACTTACCTGCTACCTGTAGTTCAAAATGGGCATCACTGGAATAGTTATGTGACCAGAAATGGCAAATGTACTGACCAGCGTCAGAGACCTGGACCTGATGGATACTTAAGATCAACTTCCCCTCTGCCATGTCATTTTTCAGCATTTCAGTCCTTCCCTGGAACTCAGGGTCCTGCGTTTCCTCCACTTCATCCTCATTACAGTAGCCATGCACAAGAGTCTGGTCTCGGAAGCATTTCACAATCATTTTCCTAGCATCCATCTTAGGGGAGAGGTGACAGGAGAGCATGGCATCCTCCCCCTGCTTGGCTTGAATGACCTGAGCAGGGCCAATCACAGTGAAGTGTCCTGTGGGGAGTTCTAGGGGTAGAGCAGAAGAAAATCAGAGGACAATATGGGTCAAGGAGGGAGGGCAGGTATGTTTGGGAGTGGGAGGCAGGAGGTCTCAGGACTTTAATGCTCTGACTTCTGTTCCTGGACCACTTGCTGGTCTTCTGTGGACCCACTTCTGGACCCACTTTTAAAATTGTGATTCATTTGTAGACTGCCTTGTGTAGTCATGGAGGTAGGTCGGCTGTTTGGGGGCTGGAAGATTGGAGGCAGGGGCAGGAAGTCTCCTGCTACCATCAGTGGTCTTAAGGGAAATATCAGCCTCTGCTCCACCCTTGCCCATAGATAACTTACAAGTGTAGAGGGATCCCAGGCTTCTGGGCTGGTGTTAACCTGGCCCTTCTACTATGGCTGTGCAGCTGAGTATTTTAGAAGTGGGGAGAGCCAGGTGAGAGCTCTGTAGTGAACTCAGGTAGGAATAGGGGAGTCTGGTCATCTGGATAGATGGAAAGGCCTGTCTGGCTTCCTCTTCTAGATCTCAGCTGGTCAGCATGGGGATGGATCTGACCAACTCATTTTTTTTTAATGCAGAAAGCCAATTTATTCCATCATAAGCACTTACACAGTTAGTCATGGACAGAAACAGGCTGCTGGTTAGACAAGTTACCCAAAAGACCTAGTATACAACAAGTGCTCAAGTACTAATCTCATTTCTGTTTGTTGAAAAACAATTTAAAAGAAACAAAAAAGGAAGAGAAGAAACCATCCAGAATGAATTTTAAAGCACATCGGCTCCCAATTGCTATGTTTTCAGATTACTGGGCTGGCTATCAGGTGTGCATCTGTCAGGAAAAAACATATACCTTCTTTGTGACCTGGTGATCCCAAGTTTAAAAAAAAATTCCACAAGAAAGAAGGAAATTATATGAAAACATAACTCTAGAAAGATTCTAGGGAGCAAAACTATATGAGAAGGTGAACAAAGATCTTTTGCATGTACAGCATTTCACATGGTTATTTGTTCCCCACTAGATGGGAAGTGAAGGACAGAGTAAAAAGTCATTAGAAACAAAACAAATTAAATGAAATAGAAACATTTTAATACTTGAAAGACACTTAAGATGAACCAGCAGAAGCCAGTTTATGTTGAAATTTCAAGGTGGTATAAAAAAAGCTTCCAGGCTATAGTCAGATCATTCATTTTCACTACAATTCCTTTTAGGGATGGATTTAAGCTCTCATAGAGTCTGCTACTTTATATCATCCATCCATCAGGGACCAGCTTTGATTGTGATGCACCAATAAAATAGACCAAGTTCTCCTGTAAAAATTCTTGTAGAAGAATGACTGATGCTAGAAATTCTGGACCTGAGGATGTTATTGTTTGAACAAGTCCAGAGATTAAACTGAGGTAAATGGAGGCTTCAATTTTGGTAATTTCCAACTTTTGTGTGGATTTCAGTCATCCTTTCAAAGCTCAGATTTTAGCCGCGTTTCCTTTTGCTGATATGATGCAAGTTATGGTTTAAAATCCAGCCAGCCAGTTTGGATGGAATCACTGAATGCCTTCTGTTCACTGGCTAATGCTTTGGAGCCATGGGAAAGCTGGCTCTCATTTCTTCATACCTAAACCATTTGTTTATAATAACCTCCATATTTGGAGAGAAGGGAAGAACTTTGGTGAGTAGCAACCAATCCACTCAAACAGTTTTCCTTGTGCTTTATGCCTGATTTCTTCTCATGCAACCCCCCCATATAAAAATTGAAATCTATTAAAATCTTCAGAAATCTTACCAACTTTAAAACTACTTTAGTAATGGATTCCAGTTCAAACACCAGTTTGTAAGGGGGAAGGGGGGAAATTCTCAAAGAAAAAGACAATAGACATTGGGCTAGGTTCCCTCCAAACCTTTATTTTAAAATCCAAATTTGTTTCCATATTCCCCCAAGAGCTTTTGAATTTTCATTTTTTCTAGTAAGTCCATAATTATTACATATTTTAAAATATGTATTTCCCTTTATGGAGCTGAACCTTCAGAAATGGGGAACTTGCAACAGCCTCTTTAACTTATCTTCATGGACTTAGCAAAGATTTAGACCTGAAGATGATGGTTTCAAAGAAGGTTGACGAGATTTAACATTTTTTTTTCTTAATTTAGGTAATTGGGGTTAAGTGACTTGCCCAGGGTCACACAGCTAGTAAGTGTCAAGTATTTGGTCTGAAGCTGAATGTGAACTCTGGTCCTCCTGGCTTCAGGGTCGGTGCTCTATCCACTGTGCCATCTAGCTGCCCCAAGATTTAACATTGAATCAGAGGGGCCAATTGGAAGATTTATAGAACTAATTTGAGCAGTCCAGTGACAACAGGTCAGAACATTTTAGACACTCCACACCCTCATCAGTGCATGGAATTTGGGTATTAGTCCAGACCTGGTACCTTTAGAGGAGGGAGAATAGTTATTGTCTCAGTTTTCTGAGTCCAGGCCAGAGAGCAGGTCCCCCAACCAATCAGTGGGAAACCCAGGCCTGAATGATCTCCCAGTGGGGACAGCTCCATGTTGTTCAGAAAGCTCAGAGGGACCTGGGCTTCCATCAAAGAGGGGCATCCAGCTTTCTTTGTCTTTGTTCCTCCATTTCCTTGAAAGGGTGGGTTGGCAAATGCCCTGAACGGCTAATGGTAAACATGCAGGAATATCTTGTCATCATTTTAAATTGTTCCTTGCTCAGTGAATCTGCAAAACTTCAGGGATGATTGATTTTCATCTGAAGTTGTGGAATTGTATGTGATGCTGCACCATTGGCTGCTCTGAGATTCCTTCCTATAGGGTCCTGGGGAAGCAGATGAAAGGAAGTCCCTCATAGCTGCCCAGAGACCAGAGAGGATTGTTCTGAACTGGGGACAAGAACTGGGTTAAAAATGCACCTCTGCCTATTGGATAAAGACGAAATATTCAAAATGGATGAGAGAGAAGAAGGGAGCTTTCCTTGGTGCCTTCCTAGCTGACCTAACATGGAGGAATCCATGTGGAATATGCCAGGGTGCTGAGTGTGGGAGAAGCTATTCTGTGTTTCCTTACCATTTGGGTAAGACTAGCTTCTTTCTATTGGCTGCATAGCTGGAACAGATTGTGACTTACAAACTATCAGACTCAGATTCATTCTCTCTCTCTCTCCCTCTCTCTCTCCCTCTCTCTCTCTCTCTCTCTCTCTTCTCTCTCTCTCTCTCTCTCTCTCTCTCTCCCTCCTCTCTCTCTCTCCCTCCTCTCCTCTCTCCCTCTCTCTCTCTCTCTCTCTCTCTCTCTCTCTCTCTCTCTCTCTCTCTCTCTCTCTCTCTCTCTCTCTCCATCTATTTTCTTCTAGCTGTGTCCAGAAGAGGTGAAAGTCCTATTCATTCACAGCACAGGTACCATGAACTGAGCTGTGTAAGGAAAGACTCTTTCCCTCCCCAGTCTAGGCCCTGTGTCCTTCCACAAACAGGTTTAGAATGTGGGTAGGAGCTATTTATTTGCCTTTTTCACTTCTAGGCACAGGTTGGGGATCCTTCACCCCACCCAGACCCAAGCCATGGAGACCTTGGAGGGAAGAATCAAGCCCAATGTTGCTGCCAGCCCAGAAGGGAGCCCTGAGAAGAGAGCATGCCTGGGACTTCAGTCCAACGGGGGCTTTGGAATTGAAATTTGGTGAGACTCTACTATGTAGGAACTGGACTAAGCTATAAACATGGATTCCTTTCACCCCACAACTCTCCAGAGACTGATGTGGCCTGTGTGGGGAGGAAAATGTCCTTAGATGTTAAGAAAGTATCATTTGTACAGTTGTTTTCATGACACTGTACAATTAAATATTACTGAATAAAAACTAATCTGATTATCAAGTGGTTACATGGAATAAGGGCACAGAAGAGACTAAAATTGGGGGAACATCACTGAGGGGGCTTGAACCAATGACAGAGAGGCTGGATGCCCCAAACCCCATTAAAGGTACCAGAGGACTCTGAGGGGCTGAAAGATAACAGACCCAGACTTCAGTCACTGTGACAGAAATATTAACCCAGAAGGTAGTTGTGAGACTCCAGTGAGACAATGTATGGAACGTACCTTAGATACTCTAAGGATCTAGGCCAATGTCAATGTCTGAAGGTCCCTTCCAGCTCTAGAGAGAATCCATGACCCAGGTAGGACCTACCTGATACGTGAAGGTCAAAGCTGGTTTCATTGTAAATGGTGCCTGTCTGGAAATAACATGTGTACTGGCCAGTGTCAGAAAGCTTGACCTGATGGACGATCACGGTCACCTTCCCCTCAGCCATATCCTCTCTCAGCATCTTTGTCCTCCCTTGGAATGCAGGGGCCTGGACTTCCTCCATCTCCTGGCCCATGCGGTACAAGTGCACAACCAGTGGGCCTCTGACCCACTTCACAGTCATGCCCCGAGCATCCATCTTAGGGGAGAGGTGACAGGAGAGCTGGACATCTTCCCCCACCCAGGCCCGGATGGGCTGGACCAGAGGGCCAGATACTGTGAATGTGCCTGTGTGCAGAACCAGGGACAAAGAGCAGAGAATCAGAGAACACTGGGGTGGAGGAGTTAATGTGGCCTTCAGAGCAGGGGTCAGGGCGGCCCAGGACCAGGAAGCTCTCAATGTGTTCCTGCTCAGGGGCTGCTCTGCTTTTACCCTCTCTTTGGTGAAATCACTTTCCACTCTATGACACATCTGTGAGATGGAGACAAGACATTCTCCCCGTTCACTACCTTGTATATTCAGGGAGGCAGGGCAGCTGATTGGGGGCTGAAAGCTTGGGGTGGAGGCAGGAAGCAACAGCTGCTGTCAATGGCCCCATGGAGGCACCAGCCTCTGCCCCACCCCTGAGGCTGCCCATAGATAACAAAGACCAGGCTTCTGGGCTGATGTTGGACTTGTCCTCATTCTGTGGCTGTGCAGATGAGTGTTTTAGAAGGAGGCTGGGCCAGAGAGCTGTGGGAGACCTCTGTGGGACAGAGCAGTGCAGGTCAGTGGGGGAGGAGGAGCGTGATTATGGGAATGTGGGGAGCTTCCAGGGTGTCAATGCAGTGATGGCATGCTGGGTTACTGGGCCTGGAAGGAAAGCATTTGAGTTCAAATATTAGCTCTACTAGTGACTAGCTGTGTGACTTTGGACAAATCACTAGATCTTTCTGGGCCTCTGTTTCTTCAGTAAAATAAGAAGATTGAACTCAATGATCTCTGGGGCCTTTTCCGGTTCTAAAACTATGTTTCTTTGTTTTCCCTTTGGTTGTATGTGTCACTGGGGAGAATCTCCATGAAGCTGTTGGGTACAGAGTCCACAAAAAAGCTGAGTTTTTTTTTCTTTGTCAGAAGAGGAGAAACAGCTGTGCCCTCTATGACACATTCTAACTTTCCTATTTTCTTGGGTGGGTCTGGATCAGAAGAGATGGGACCATTGTATCTGTGGATGACATTTGTTCTGACAACCTCACTCACACACAGATCAAGAGGGAGGGTCTTAGAGTGGACACCAGCACCCTCAGAAGTCTGCCCATCAGAGGGAGGCAGCAGTGGGGAATGGTCAGTGCTGGGATTAAAAGGCAGAGCTCCTGGGATGCACATTGCATCAGACACTCATGTCTTTAACAATGCTGGTCCTGGGCCTCCTGGAACCCTGGCCGAGTTTTCTAGCTGAAACCTCCATCCAGGTCCCATCTTCCTAAGTGCCCTCTATGTGGTATCTCCATGAAAAGCTCTGGGTCCTGGCCTGGCTTGGCCTGAGGTTTTGCTCCACACCTTTCAGTCTTGCTCTTCCTTCCCCAGCAGTGGCTTTCCTTCAGGCCCAGGGCCCTAATCACCAGCACCTGTTGGTCCCCTTGGTGGGGGAGGGAGGGACACTTTGGAAAGTGCTTTGTTGAGCCCCTGAAGGAAACCTGCCCAGACAGTAGAGTCTTTCAAACCTTACTTAATGCCTCTTCTTCCCTCTGCATAGGACAGAAGTCAGCAAAGTATTGTAAGGCAAAGAAAATCAGAGTTATGGGAATCCTCCACTGGATGTCAGAAGATTTAGATTCATGTCCTGCTTCTGTCATGTCATGTTGGGCAAATCCCACCCGGACCCAACCTTACTTGCCTTGCTTATAAAATAAGGGGTGGTATTTTGTCCTGCCTAGAGTTATTTTAAATGAGGCATCTCTTACTATCTCGCATGGTTTTGTTTGTGATCTATAGGAATGCTGATGATTTGTGTGGATTTATTTTATATCCTGCCACTTTGCTAAAATTAATTGTTTCAATTAACTTTTTGAGTCTTTGGGATTTTCCAAGTATATCATCGTATCATCTACAAAAAGAGATAATTTTATTACCTCATTCCCTATTCTGATTTCTTCTATTTCTTTTTATTTTATTGCTATTGCTAGGATTTCTAATATAATATTGAATAATGGTGCTAGGGGGCATCCTTGTTTCACACTTGAGCTTTCTCGGAAGGCTTCTAGCTTATCTGCATTGAAAAAATACTTGCTAATGGTTTTAGACAAATGCTTTTTATCAATTTAAGGAAAAATCTATTTATACCTCTACTTCCAAGTATTTTTTAAATAGAAATGAGTGTTGTACTTTATGAAAAATCTTTTCTGCATTTATTGATATAATAATATGATTTTTAATCTTTTATTATTGATAAAATCAATTGTGTTAATAGTTTTCCTTATTATATACCCTCCCTGCATTACTGGCATAAATCCCAATTGGTCATAATGTAGTCTTTGTAATATATTGTAATATTTTAGCTATCATTTTTAAAAAATATTTTTCATTAATAACATTGGTCCATAATTTTCTTTCTCTGCATTTACTCTTCCTAGTTTAGGTATCATTATCATATTTTTTTCATTAAAGGAGTTTGGTGGGATCCCTTCTTTGCCTACTATTCCAAATAATTTATTTAATATTGGAATTAGTTTCTCTTTCAATGTTTGCTAGAATTCACCTTTTAATCTGTCTGGTCTTGGTGCTTTCTTCTTAGAAAGCTCATTTATGGCCTGTTCAATTTTTTTTTTCTAAAACAGGCCTATTTAGAGACTCTATTTCCTCTTCTGCTAATTAGGTATCATATTTTTAAAAATATTCTTCTATTTCACTTACATTGTTAAATTTATTGGCACATAATTGTGCAAAATAACTCCTTATAATTGTTTTAATTTTATGTGTTAGTGGTGTATTCAACCTTTTCATTTTTAGTAATAGTGATTTAGTTTTCTCTCTTTTTTTATAAAAATTAAATTAATCAATGATTTATCTATTTTACTGTGTTTTTTCCATAAAACTGATTCCTAGTTTTATTTATTAATTCAATGGGTTTTTACACTCAATTTTATTAATCTAACTTTTAATTTTTAGGATTTTCAATTTAGTGTTTAATTGGGGATTTTTACTTTGATCTTTTTCTAGTTTTTTTTAATGGCATGTCCAATTCGTTAATCTGCTTTTTCTCCATTTTAGTGATGTAAGCATTTAGAAATACACATTCTCCTCCTATCACTACTTTTGCTTTTTTGTATATGTTGTCACATTTTTGTCATTCTCTGTAATAAAATTATTAATTGTTTCTATGATTTGTTCTTTGATTCACTCATTATTTAAGATTGGGTTGTTTAACCTCCAATTAGTTTTTAATTATGTTTCTGTGGTATCTTATAAAAGATAATTTTTATTGCAGTGTGATCTGAAAGGTATACTTTTAATCCTTCTGCTTTTTTACTTTTAACTATAAAATTTTTATGCCCTAATATATGGTCAGTCTTTGTAAAGGTCCCATGAACTGCTGAGAAAAAAAGGTGTATTCCTTTCTATTTCCATTCTCTCCAGATATCACATCTAGCTTTCCTAAAATTCTATTCACTTCCTTGACTTTTTTTTTAGGTTAGATTTATCTAGTTCTGAGAAAGGAATATTTAAGTCCCACACTATTAATAATATTACTATCTATCTCTACCTGTAATTCATTTAACTTTTTGTTTAAAACTTTAGATGCTATAGTATTTGGTGCACATAGGTTCAATATTGATATTGCTTCATTGTTTGTCATACCTTTCATCAAAATGTAGTTATCCTATTTATCACTTTTAATTAAATCTATTTTAGTCATAAATTAGTCTGAGATTATGATTGCTACTGTTGCCTTTTATGCATCAGCTAAAGCATAATAAATTCTGCCCAACCCTTCATTTTAATTTTGTGTGTATCTCTCATGCTTAAATGTGTTTCTTGTAAACAACTTACTATCACATTTTTATTTTTAATCCATTCTGCTGTTTCCTTTCTTTTTTTTTCAGTGAGGCAGTTGGGGTTAAGTGACTTGCCCAGAGTCACACAGCTAGGAAGTATTATGTGTCTGAGGCCAGATTTGAACTCAGGTCCTCCTGACTCCAGGGCTGGTGCTCTATCCACTACACCACCTAGCTGCCCCTGCTGTTTCCTTTTTATGGGGGAGTTCACCCCATTCATATTTAAAGTTATAATTACTATTACTAGATAAAATACTGAAGAGTATACCTGCCAAAACAAACCCTAGAACTATGTAAACATAATTATAAAAAAACTTTTTATACAAATAAAATCAGATTTAAAGAATTGGGGAAATATTAATTATTCATAGGTAGATATGGCCAATATAATAAAACGACAATTTTACTTAAACTAATTTACATATTCAATGCCATCCCAATTAAATTATCAAAAAATTATTTTACTAAATTAAAAAAAATAATAAAATTCATTTAAAAGAACAAAAAGTCAAGAATATCAAAGAAACTGGTGAAAAACAAATGTAAAGGAAGGAGGTTTAGCAGTACCTGATCTTAAACTGTATTATAAAGCAGTAATAATCAAAAGTATCTGGTACTGCCTAGGTATATCAATAGAACAGAGCAGACATACAATTCATAGCAACAAATAGGTATAGTAGCTTTGCATTTGACAAGTGTAAAGACAAGATTTTGAGATAAGAATTCATTATTTGGAAAAAATTGTTGGGAAGACTGAAAAAGAGTATACCAGAAACTGGGCTTATACCAATATTTTACACCATTTGCCAAGATAAGGTCAAAGTGGATATATGACCTTAGATATAAAGTGAGATATTTCAAGAAAATTTGAAGCACATGGAACATATTGCTTGTAAGAGTTATGGATAGGTGAACAATTTATGAATATATCAACAAGAGACAAAACAGAGTGAGGTATAGAATGGATAATTTTGATTCCATTAAATTGAAAAGGTTTTGTACAAATAAAGCAAATGTAGCCAAGATCAGAAGGAAAGCAGAAATTGGGAGAAAAATTTTGCAGACCTTTTCTCAGATAAAGGTATCATATCTCAAATATGTAAAGAACTCTGTAAAATCTATAAAAATATGAGTCATTCCCCAATTGCTAATGGTCAAAGGATGTAAACAGGCAGTTTTCCAATGAAGAAATCAAAAGAATTTATAGTAATGTGAAAAAATGCTCTAAATCATTATGGATTAGAGAAATACAAATTAAAACAACTTTGAGAAATCATTTTTCACCTACCAGATGGGCTAAAATAATTGAAGGAGAAAGAGACAAATGTTGGAGTGGATGTGGAAAAATTGGGACACTAATTCATTGTTGGTGGAATTGTGAATTGATCCAATCATTTTGGAGAGCAATCTGGAATTATGCCTAAAGAGTTATTAAACTGAGTATAACCTGTGACCCAGCAATACCACTAGTAGGTCTATTTCCAAAGATAATTAGGGGAAAAGGAAAAGAACCTATATGTTCAAAAATGTTTATGGCAACTCTCTTTGTGGTGACAAAGAACTGAAATTGCAAGTATGCCCTTCGATTGGGGAATGGCTAAACAAGTTGTGGTATATCATCATGATGGAATACTACTGCGTATAAGACATGATGAGTTTGATATCTTAGAAAAAACATGGATAGACTTGCACAAAATAATGAAGAGCAAAATAAGCAAAATGAAGAGAATGTTGTATACAGTAACAGCAATATTGTTTTAAGAAAAACTTTGAGTAAGTCATTTTGACTACTGCGAATACCCAAATAAACTGGAAAGAACATATGAAGGAAGACACTATTTGCATCCAGAGAAAGAACTGATAAATAGAAGTATGTATCAAATGATTTTACATATATATATATATATATATATATATATTTGTGTCTAATGGTAGCCATTTCTGGGGCAGAAGGGGGGAGGATAGAAAAAAGGAAATTAATTTGATAACTTTATTATATATGTAAAAGGAATAGCATATGGTACATGATAGATTCGTAGTTTCATGCACAATCATCCTTTTATTATACTATACTATATTGCACAAATTAAAAATCAAATAAAAACTTAAAAATAAATAAATAAAACTGGGCTTGGGGATTTCATCAGTTCATGTATAAAGTTAGCCATCCCATCTCTAATGATCCGTGACTCTCTAGTCTACTCTGTCAAGTTGGGAGACCAGGGAAATCTCTGCTAGCCATAAATGAGCAATACTTTTGTTGGCAGATCAGATGATGTGCAAAGGCCATCCCAGCTCTAATCCTCTGTGACTCTCTACACTGTCCAGCTGGGAGATGAGGGAGATCTCTTCTAGCCATAAATGATTAATAATTTGCTGTCAGTTTTGCCTTACAAAGGTACAAGTGTGGACAATCTGCTTCTATTAACTGTTCTTCTTGTCTCTAGATTTATTTCAGGGCCAATCAAAGAAGGTCTTGGTAGTAAGATTAAGTCTTTGCATTCTAACCTCCAAACAAGTCCTGGAAGTTATTGGGATTTGGGGGAGGGCCCAAAAGTGGGTTTATGGACGTAGACTGTTACGCAACTATTTCATAGACATTTTGAGAGATTTTCTATCCCCTAGCCAAATAGTTATCTAGAACTAAACATGCCCAGTAAGCATTAAACAAACCAAGACAAGGGAAAAAATAGCCAATCTTAGCTTGGAGCATTCTGATGGCTTTTGTTGATTGCCTGGCTAAATATAGTGGCTCAGGATCCCTGGTCCAAGAGAACAAGGTTACTAGGAATTGCAACTTTTTTTTGGGAATTCCCATTAGTTCTTTGGCTGTAAGCTTAAATTCCCAAAATCCATTTTGGGGTGTGCTCAATACTCTCTACTAGTTTTCCTATATTACGATTATTTAATATGACCTGTTAGTAGAGCAGAGAGAAATTTAAAGTACCTAACTTTCATTGGATCCTCAGAAATATTTGAAAGCCCTTCCATATTGCTCTCATAGACTCCTTGTATTTTGTACAAAAATATCAAACTTTTCCTCCTCTATTCAAGAGTTGACCTGAGCTATGACAATTTCCTCCTTTACTGACAAGTGTGGACCCCTACTATGAGAGATCCTTCTATTCAGATGTGTCACCTCCCTTCACTGGCCTGTAACATAAGGCACTTGAACTGAGCAAGATCCCTTCCAACTCTACAATCCTTTGTTTCTGTATTGCCAATATTGGTGAAGATGCCTTGGAGGGGGGCAATGACCCTGAGATCAGAGATCACATCTTTTCTAAACTTTTAACTTCCAGTAATGTTAAAACACAAGGCTCTGTGAGCAATGGGGGTTAGATAAGTGTTTCTTTTTAAAAGTTTTTTTAAAAAATTGTTTTTAGTTTTCAACATTCATTCTATAAGATTTTGATTTGTTAATTTTCTCCCCCTTCCTCTCCTCCCCCCTCCCCAAGATGGCATGCAGTCTGATATAGGCTATACATGTACAATCATATCAAATGTTAAGTGAGTGTTTCTTGAATTGATGGTTTAATTGAATGGAATATCAGTGGGTAGTGCTATGTGGAGGCCACAGTGGCAGAGACCAAAGTGAACTTACCTGAGCTAGGAGTACCAGAAAGGACAAGGATGAGGTATATGAGGTAAAAACATAGAGTAGGGCTGTTGTAGGAAGAGTGCTGGTGATTCCACTTCATGGTCCAGATCATGGCTGATGGGAACCCAACCAGAGAGATGCTGAGAACAAGCAAGGATGTTGCCAGTGAAGAGCAGGATAACAGAAGCTGAAAATTGTCCCCACTGACCATTTAGCACAGGATTCAGGAGTGTTGTCTCAGAGTCTGGACAACCACACATTAAACCACACGTGTGCCCCTTCAGGGCACAGAGCTGTGGTCCAGCTTGTGTCCACCCCACCTTGTTTCCCCTCTGTCATATAGATCTCACAGGTTAGGCTGGTCCCCATACACCCCACATTCATTTCAACATCCACAGCTCTGCTTACACTATTTTTTCTCATCTATAATGTCCTCCCCACACCTTTCATTTTATTCATTCATTCATTCATTCATTTATTTCTGCATTCATTTATTTAATTATTTATTTGTCTGCCCATTCATTCATTCATTTATTTACTCAATTAATTAATTTATTTATTCATTCATTCATTCATTCATCTATTTGTTTGTTTATTTATTTATTTATTTGTTGTTTTTAGTTAGGCAATGGGGTTAAGTGACTTGCCCACGGTCACACAGCTAGTAAGTGTTATGTGTCTGAGGCCATATTTGAACTCAGGTCCTCCTGAAGCCAGGGCCGGTGCTCTATCCACTGCGCCACCTAGCTGCCCCTCCTTTCTCTTTATTCCAATACTTCTATGTCTGACTCAATGGGCCTCCTGCTCCCTGAAGACTTCTTACATTAACTTCTTGCTCATTGATCATCTATCTCTGTTTTTCATTTCATCATCTTAGCAGCTCACATGGATTCAATGATTTCCTCTATGCAGAGGCCTCTCAGCTTCACTGATTCAGCCCTAACCTCTCTCCTGACCTCTAGTGTCTTTTGGATACTCTGACTTGGATGCCTCATGGACATTAAACACAACATACACAGAACTGAACTCACTGTCTTTCCCCCTAAATGTTCTTAATTTCCTGCCTTCTCTATTATGTCAAGGACAGCACCAGGCTCCAACCCAGATGTCATTCTCAACTCCTTATTCTCTTTTTCCCTGCCTCCCCATATCTAGTCCTCCATAGCCAAGTCCCTGTCTAGTCTACCTTTCCAACACCTCTCATATCCATCTCCTTCTCTCCTCTGATACTTCTGCTATCCTCATGCAGAATTTCATCACCTGGTTAGTGTCCCTGCCTCCAGCTTTTCTACTCTCCAGCATTTGACATTCAGCTGTCAAAAAGATCTCCCTAAAGTTTAGGTGTGACCATTCCAACCCCCAATTCAATAACATACAGTGGCTCCCTGTCACATCTAGGATAAATAAGGTGTTGAAAGCCCTTCACACCCTGGCCCTTTCTTATCTCTTTCATCTTCTTACACCTTCCTCCCCTCGAGTCTTCTGCCACCCAGTGACCCTGGCTTTTTGGCTATTCCTCAAACAATACCCTCCACCTGTCTACTTGAGGCATTTTCACTGGCTGTCTCCCTTACCTGCAATTCTCCCTCTTCCTTTCTGTATTCCAGCTCCTCAGGCATTTTTCAGATCCAGCTCAAATCTCACCTTCTGCCAGAAGTGTTTCCTCATTCCCTGTATTGCTAGTGTCTTATCTCCTAACATTGACTCCAATTCATCCTTCATATATCTTGTTTTGTGTAAAGGTTTGTGTGGTCTCTCCTTCATTAGACGGTGAGCTTGTTGAGAGCAAAGAATGAATTTTGCTTTTCATGGTAACCCCTGTGTCTAGTAGCACAGTGCCTGGCACATAGTAGGTACTTAATAAATGCTTCTTGACTTGGTTTGACCTCTACCCTTGTTATCAGTATCACTAAGCAGAGTATATGGGCGTGGAGGATATATACTATGTCTTTCCTTCTGCTTGTCTGTGCTGAGTAACCGGGCACAGATCTATGATCTTACAGGCCCATCATGTAGATGACAGATGATTGATGAATGGGGAATACAGTTCTGTTATCTATGGGCAACACAGTGGGCTGAGGGCTTCTCTAGAAATGCTGGGCTTGGGACTTCTCTAAGTCTCCAACTGATTCCTTGGTAGCTTAGGTGCCAATGGTTTAGATTTCATTTTACTCAATCATTCAAAAATATTAATAAACCAAAGAATGGGAGTTAATAGCCTGAATATATCTGTAGAAAGTAAGATATTTTACATCTCTTGTGATTACTTGAGTGGGAATATAGTGGAAGTTCTATATATCACAGCTATTTATGGCATCTTTACATAAATTAACCATGTGCTATGGCATAAGATTCCATACTGGAATATAGAAAAATAAAAATTTTAAGTATATACCTTACTGATCACAATGGAATAAAAATGACAATTAATGAGTCCTTTAAAGGAAGAATTGACCTCAGGACTCCTGGATCCAAGACTAGTCCTCTGTCCAGTGGGCCAAACTGCCTCCCAAGCTTCCTCTTACAATTTGGTCTGTCTCTTAGACATAGTGGTCAGAAGGGTCTGATTAACAACTGACCTCCCCATTGATAAATGGTTAGAAGGTATTAACTGGTTGTTTTTTAGATAAAGAAATTAAAGGAATTTATACTCATATGAAAAATTGCTCTAAATCATTGATTAGAGAAATGCAAATTAAAACAATCTTGAGATACCATTTTACAAGTATCAGACTGGCTAAAATGATTGAAGGGGAGGGCAACAAATGTTGGAGGGGATATGAAAAAATTGAGACAATAATTCATTGTTGATAGAATTGTGAACTGATCCAACCATTTTGGAGAGCAATCTGGAATTATGCCCAAAGAGTTATTGAACTGCATATACCTTTTGACCCAGAAATACCACTATCAGGTTGGCTTCCCAAGATTATTAGGGAAAAAGGAAAAGAAACTATCTGTTCTAAAATATTTAAAGCAGCTCTCTTTGTCGTGACAAAGAACTGGAAACTGCACTGATGCCCATCAATAGGGGAATGGCTGAACAAGTTGGGGTACATGATTTTGATGGAATATTACTGGGTCATAAGAAATGGTGAGTTTGATGATCTTAGAAAAACATGAAATTAACTTATGTGAAATAATGAAGAGCAAAATGAACAAATCCAAGAGAACGTTATATATGGTAACAGCAATAATGTTTTAAGAACAACTTTGAGAGAATAAGTCATTTTGACTATTACAAATACCCAAATTAACTACACAGGATATATGAGTGAAGTGTATCCAGGGAAAGAACTGACAACTAGAGGTATGCATAGAAAGATTTTACATATATATACACATTTGTGTCTAGTGATGGCCATGTTTAAGGCAGGGTGGGGGAGGTAAGAAAAAAGAAAAAAAGTAATTTATGTCATAACTTTATTATACATTTAAAATGAATAGCAAATTGTACATAAAAGATTTGTAGCTTCATTTATCAATTATTTTTTTTATTATGTTGTTTTAGAAATGCTTGTTTTATGCCAGAAATTAAAATTTTAATAAATAAAAATTTAAAAAATACCTAACCCACCTGTCCTTCCCAAGTTTCTGAGATAAGGCTGCAGACCAGAGAAGAGTAACCACCATGAAAATGACTACAAGCCCTTTGGAACAAAGTCCCTCCCAACAAAAGAACTACCTCAGCCTACCCAGAGGTTTAACAGGGACCTCCTTCTGAGGGCTCTGTGGCTCACCTTGCTTTCTACTGATAACAATCATCTGGGCACATTCTCAGGAAGAAAGGAGGAGAGAATTCATCTCATCAGGAAGAGAAAGGTCTGTTCTCTTTCTAGCTCTTGTCAAAATATTTTGGAGATACCCTGTTTCCCAGAGCTAAGGCCCAGCAAGCAGGCTGTGCCCTGAGCTTGGCATAATAACAATCCTTTGCTCTCTGGATGATCTCACCCTCTGGCAAAGTGTTCACTCCCTCTATTTCCCAGGGACCAGCGAGCCAACATCCATCACATCTCTGACATGCTCATAATCCCTGTTCTTTTTACTATATTCCTGTTCCCATCACAGAACTCTGGTTCTGTACTGCATAGAGTAGTAACAACCCCCAAGACCTGGGACGATACTGTTCCAACAGGTGCAGTAGTAACTCAAGACCTAAAAATGACATAGTCCAGCCCGCTTATGTATATTAGCACCGTCTGCACCCCAATATGTTAAGCCCTCCTCAGGATGGAGGGCTTCCTTTAGTGCAAGTCACTTTCCTCATGCTGAAATAAATCATACCTCTACTTTGTGTCCTGACACCTGCATCTAACCTGCTCTGTTCAGCTCTGGCCATTCTCAGGTTAGAGACCAATCCAGTCTGGACTGCAGTCTAAACTCTGTTAACTGCGTTCTAAACATCTCGCTTTTCCACTGTAGAAAGCTGGGAAAAGCCCTTAGCATATTGTTCCTTGTGAGAGAGGCTTCTTGGTGATCCTGCCAAATGGCTCTCATTTAGCCCCAGGCTAAAAGCCTCTCATTCCTTCAAATCCACTAGACATATTCTTTTGTCCTCTCCTTTACTCAAGTCTCTGACAAACATATGGCTCTATTTGCCAAAGCTAAACCTTTGAATTGTCATCTTTGTCCTTCAAAATCAGCTACTGAATCTGAGCTGGTGTGTTATAAGAAGATCTTCAGAAGTGGCATCTCTGTCAGCTTGTTTACAAACCAGTCATGCTTCCCCCCACTCCTTTTCTATTTCTTGTATTCATCTTGAGTAGCAGAAGAGCCAGAAGAGCAGTCTTAGGAGATACTGGGGTGGAGTCTCTCAGTGGAGGCTGGAGAATGACTTGCTAGGGATGTTGGAAAGGGGATTTCTGTTGAGGGCTGGACTGGATCAGATGCCCTCTGAGATCCCTCCCACTGCTGAGCCCATGATTGTCACAGGGTCGACATAACTGTATGAACACCACACTTGGAGTCCAAAGTTTGAGGTCTGGCACTGCCCAGATCTGTGTGACCTTGGATGAGACCCTTCTCTGTATGAAACTTAATGTTCTCCCCTGTAAAATGAAGATAATAATGCTAGGAGGCAATTTGTTCCAGTAGAAATAAACTGGCTTAGGAGTCAGAGGACTTGTGTTCAAATCCTGCCTGTGAGGCTTACTGCTTGTAGGATCTTTGGAAGTGCCTTTACCTTCTATGGGACTTAATTCATAGATCTACAAATTGAGGTGGCTGGACCTGAGGTCCCCTGAGGTCCCTTTCAGTGATAGATCTAGGCATTGAAGCAGCTTGGTGTAGAGCCTGCTGGGCTTGCAGCCAGGAAGACCCAAGTTCTAATCAGTTGTGGGACTCAGACAGAGTCAGATGATGTTTCCTCATCTGCAAAATGGAGATAACCAGGCCTTTAGTGCCAACAGCTAGGGTTGTCATGGGGCCCACTGAAAATAAAGAATAAATTACAGGCCCCAAAACAAAACTAGAGTTTGAAAAATTAAATTAAAAATGTCTATCTCCAAAGAAGAAGTATAAGAATATACCTCCCTCCTCCCACTCACACACACACACACACACACACACACACACACTGCTTTAGACCTCTGAGTCCATGGATATGGAACATTGCATAGAACATTAGTTTTCTTTTTGGGAGATTATTTCCATTTCTCCCCTTTCCCTCTTCTTTTTCTTTCTTCTTTTTAAACTCTTTGTTAGAGGTGCTGGCTCTGTAGGAGGAGGATACACACAGGGAAAATCTAGGCCATGTGAAACTCAAATGTCACTAAGAACTTATTTAAAATAGCTCGGTAACAATCCCTTGGGGCCCACTCATCCAGCTCACAACCTCACTCCTCAGATTCTAGGGCTCATCTTGGGGGTGGCTCTCTTACCCAACACTAGGCCACAAGCCTCCATCCGTGTCCTTCCACCTTAGCAATCAGCCGCCTGACTCAGATATTTAATAAGGCATCAACTCAAACTTCATAGCAAGAACACGGTTCAAATCATTTCCCCTCCCCTATACCAGGGCACAATTTCCCACAAATGCCCCAGCATCTAGGAGGGGAAAGAATGGGCAGCAAACAAGGGACCAAAGCGTGAGAGATAGACCTGGCCAACGCATCTCCCTGCTCCAGAACTAGGCCATTCATGTCCTTTTTCTCAGAATATTTGCTTCATCTCCATGGAGTCAAAAGCTCTTCTATCTGGGGGCAAAGACTTAGTTAGGGATGGCAGAAGCTTCTTCCCTTTGACTCCCTCACAGCCTCAGCTCAGAAGATGGAGCATCAGGTGTGAGTAACAGCCACAAGGCCAGGAGAGCTGGGACATACAACTTCATTGGGGAGAGGGAAGGGTAACATGACTGGAGCTCAGGAGAGAGCTCATGGCTGGGAATCATCTTCATAAAAATGGTAAGTGAATCCATGGAAGTCAAGATCTCTAAGTGAGAGAGCACAGAAGTAGAAGAGAAGAAAGAGTATTCTGGAATAAGTCTTGGGGGGCACCACAATTAGAGAGTGAGACTTTGGTGGAAATCCAGGCAAGGAGCCTGAGGAGGAGCTGCCAGATAGGAGGACCAGGGAGGGCAGTGTCACTAAGCTCTAGAGAGCAGAGAGTCGAGGAGGAGACGGGCACTCGATTTTACAATCAGTCAGTCACAGGCATAGACTTCTCAAAAATATTCACAGAGGTTTAGCCGTACCAAGTCTTAAACTATATTACAAGGCAGTAATTATCAAAACTATCTGGTACTGGCTGAAATACAAAGGAAGATCAGTGGAACAGAGCAGACTTAGCAGCAATGGCCTCCCCAGCTGTTCAGTCTGCCTCTTAGGCCTTATGGTCAGGGGAGCTGACTCACAACTGACCCAGCGGCACTTCCCAAGTTTCTGAGACAGGCCTACAGCCCAGAGGAGAGTGACCACCATGAAAATCAACACTCTTTCCAACAAAGCCCTTTCCAACAAAAGGCTCCCCCAGCCCACCCAAAGGTTAGACAGGGACCTCCTTTTCAGGGCTCTGAATAATAAAACAATCTTCTAGGCTTTTTCTCAGTCACAAAGGAGGAGAGAATTCATCCCATCAGGAAGAGAAAGATCTGTTCTCTACAGTCAGACGACTGCCTCTGAGGCTTACTGCTTGTGGGACCTTCCAAGTCCCTTTACCCTCGGTGAACCCTAGTTTACATATCTACAAATTGAGGGAGCATTACCTGATGTTCTCTGAGGTCCCTTTCAGTAATTGGTCCAGGTAGCTTAGTGAGTGCAGAGCCTGCTGGGCTCAGAGTCGGGAAGATCCAAGTTCAAATTTGAATATGAACAGTTGTGGATCCAGGCTGAGTCAACATCATATGGAAAATAAAAGCAACCACACTCTCAGACTCAGCTGATAGGTTTGTTATCTGAAATGAGCAGCTAAGTACAGCCCCAAAACCAAAATAGAATGCTGCAAATTTGAAGCTAATGTAAATAAATACTAATTGCAGTTTAATAACTGTTTATTGCTAGTATCAATCATTGTTATTGTTATCATTGTGTTATCATTATTACTCAGGTTGTTGTGACAAATGAGATAATTGTAAATTGCCTACCATAGCACCTGGCACATAGTAGGTATTAGTGGTTCTTATTACCATGTGGCAGGCATCATGCTAAGTACTGGGGATGAAAGAAAACCCAAGGCATGGGCACTGCCCTCAGGGAGCTCACATTGGAATGGGAGAAACAACCTGCAAAGAGCTCCACACGCCAGATAGAGAAAAGGCCAATGGAGACCTTGAGGGGAACCAGGAGCAGATGAGATGTGGGGGAGAACCAGGATTGGCCTCCTCCAGAAGAGGAATTGAGCTGAGTCTGGAATGAAGCCAAGGAAGCCAAGAGGCAGAGGTGAGGAGGGACAGCATTCCAGGCAGGAGGTACAGACAATGCATTTCTATTTTACCCTCTGGTTCTAGAATATCAGGGCAGTTTTCCTTGATAATTTCTTGAAAGGTGATGTCTAGGCTCTTTTTTTGATAATGGCTTTCAGGTAGTCCAATAATTTTTAAATGATCTCTCCTGGATCTATTTTCCAGGTTAGTTGTTTTTCCAATGAGATATTTCACATTGTCTTCTATTTTTTCATTCTTTTGGTTTTAACAATTTCTTGATTTCTCAAAGTCATTAGCTTCCATTTGCTCCATTCTAATTTTTAAGGAATTATTTTCTTAACTGAGCTTTTGGACCTCCTTTTCCATTTGGCCAATTCAGTTTTTTAAGGCATTCTTCTCCTTATTGGTTTTTTGGACCTCTTTGCCATTTGGGTTAGTCTATTTTTAAGGTGTTATTTTCTACAGTATTTTTTGGGTCTCCTTTGGTAAATGGCTGACACGTTTTTCCATGGTTTCCTTGCATCACTGTCATTTTTTCCTCTACTTCTCCTACTTGCTTTTCAAAACCCTTTTTGAGCTCTTCTGTGGGCTGAAACCAATTCATATTTTTCTTGGAGGCTTTGGATGTAGAAGCTTTGACTTTGTCGTCTTCTTCTGGTTGTGTGTTTTGATCTTCTTTCTCACCAAAATATGATTCTCAAATCTGATTTTTTATGCTGTTTGCTCATGTTCCCAGCCAATTACTTGACTTTTAAACTCTTTGTTAAGGGAAGGCTCTGCTTCCAGTGTGGAGGGTGTACTGTCTCAAGCTTCAGGAGTGTTGTGCAGCTGTTTTCAGAGGTACTTCTAGGGACCTGTAAATTTTCAGTTCTTACACGGTGATACATCAAGGGCGAGGTGTTTACTCTGCTCCTGACCTGTGTTCCCTGTCTATGAGTGACCACAAGCACTCTTTTCTGCCTTGGAACTGTGAGGAAGATTGCCTCTTCACCATCACCGCAAGCTCCACCACGCCAGCACTTCTTCTCGCTCCAGGACCGCCACCCAGGATTGTGAACTAGATCCAGGCATGGGCAAAGCAAGAGAATCTTGCTTCAGCGCCTTCCAATAGATCCCTATAATCCCGCTCTGAATAGCCACTTGATCCTCCCGTTGTGAGAGCTCCAGAATCAGCACCTGCCACTGTGGCCACTGCCCCCGGGCTGCACTTGGGCCAGGGCTGGACCATGATCCTTTCACTCAGGTCCAACAGACGTTTCCCACTGACCTTCTGAGCTGTCTTTGGCGTTCGTGGGTTGAGAAGTCTGGAAGCCACCACAATTCCTTTTGATTCAGTCCCATGAGGCCTGCTCAGGGTTTGCTGGGCTCCCATGGGCGCGGCCCACCCTGAACTGCACTCCTCTTCCAGCCTTTCCTGTCGCGCGACAGACCTTTCCTGTCGACCTTCCAGGTTATCTTGGGCTGGAAATTTATTTCACTCTGTCTTTTTGTAGGTTCTGCTGTTCTGGAATTTGCTTAGAGTCATTTTTACAGATATTTGCAGGGATTTGGGGGAGAACTCAAGCAAGTCACTGCTTTTACTCTGCCATCTTGGCTCTGCCCCCCTATTTCTTTTTAAAAATTTAATATTTCCTCATTTATGTGTAAAAACAATTTTAAAAATTCATTTTAAAAATTTAGAGTTCCAAATTCACTCTTCTCCCTTCTGTCCTGCTTAATTGAGAAGGCAAGCAATTTGATGCAGGTTATACATGTGTGGTTATGCAAAATATATTTCCATGTTAGTCATGTTGTAAAAGAAAACACAGGCCAAATACAAAGAAAGTAAAGAAAAAGTATGCTTTGATCTGCATTCAAACTTCATGCATTCTTTATATGGAGATGGACAGCATTTTTAAAAAATCATAAGTCCTTTGCAATTATCTTGGATCATTGTACTGCTGAGAATAGCCAAGTCATCCACAGTTGAAGATGATATAGTACCGCTGTCACTGTGTATGACATTTTCCTGGTTCTCCTCATTTTACTTTGCATCATTTCAGGTAAGTCTTTTTTTTTTAAATTTATTTTATTAATTTATTTTGATTTATCAATAATCACTTCCATATGCTTTGAGTTTAAAATTTTTCTCCCCCTTCCTCCTTCTCACCCTCCCCAAGATGGTGCACAATCTAATATAGACTATACATTTACATTCCTATTAAACGTATTTTCACATTAGTGATGTTTTAAGTAAAAATTAAAACCAATAGGAGGAACCATCAGAAAGAGGAAACAAAACTCAACAGAAGAGAAAAAAAAAAGCAATTCAACTGCCATAGTTCTTTCTTTGGATGTGGATAGCATTTTCCATCACGAGGCCTTGGGAGATGTCTTAGATCCTTGTATTGCTGGGAAGGGTTAAGTTCATCAATATTAGTCATCACACAACGTGGCTGTTATTGTGTACAACATTCTTTTGGTTCTGCTCACTTCACTTAGCATCAGAGCATACAAGTCTTTTCAGGTTTTTCTGACATCAGCCTGTTCATCATTTCTTATAGAACAGTAGTATTCCATTACATTCATATACCACAACTTGTTCAGCCATTTCCCAATTGATGGGCATCCTCTCAATTTCTAATTCTTTGCCACCACAAAAAGAGCTGCTATGAATATTTTTGTACATGTGGGTCCTTTTCCCATTTGTATGATCTCTTTGGGATATAGCCCTAGAAGTGCTATTGCTGGGTCAAAGGGTATGCATGTTTTTATAGCCCTTTGGGCATAGTTCCAAATTGTTCTCCAAAATGGTTGGGATCATTTCACAACTCCACCAACAGTGTATTAGTGTTCCAATTTTCCCACATCTTCTCCAACATTTATCATTTTCCTGTTTTGTCATGTTGGCCAATCTGATAGGTGTGATGTGATACCTCAGAGTTGTTTTGATTTGCATTTCTCTAATCAATAATGATTTAGAGCATTTTTTCATATGACTATAGATGGCTTTAATTTCTTCATCTGAGAACTGTCTGTTCATATCCTTTGACCATTTATCAATTGGGGAATGACTTGTATTTTTATAAATTTGACTTAATTCTCTATATATTTTAGAAATGAGGCCTTTATCAGAGAGACTGGTTGTAAAAATTCTTTCCCAATTTTCTACCTTCCTTCTAATCTTAGTTGCATTGGCTTTGTTTGTGCAAAAACTTTTCAATTTAATGTAATCAAAATTATTCATTTTGCTTCTGTTCTCCATAGATCTGATAGATAAACTATTCCTTGCTCTCCCAGTTTGCTTACAGTATCAGCCTTTATATCTAACTTTTGACTTTATTTTGGTATATGGTGTGAGATTTGGGTCTATGCCTAGTTTCTGCCATACTCTTTTCCAGTTTTCCCAGCAGTTTTTTTTCCCCAAAGAGTGGGTTCTTATCCCAGAAGCTGGGATCTTTGGGTTTATCAAATAATAGATTACTATAGTCATTGACTACTGTGTCTTGCATATTTAACTTATCCCACTGATCCACTACTCCTATTTCTTAGCCAGTACCAAGCAGTTTTGATGATTGCTGCTTTATAATACAATTTAAGATCTGGAATTGCTAGGCCACCTTCCCCTACATTTCTTTTCATTAGTTCCCTTGATATTCTGGATCTTTTGTTCTTCCAAATGAATCTTGTTATTATTTTTTCTAACTCCATCAAATGATTTTTTGGTAGTTTGATTGGTATGGCACTGAATGAGCAAATTAGCTTAGGTAGGATTGTCATTTTTATTATATTAGCTCGGCCTACCCATGAGCAACTGATGTTTTTCCAATTATTTAGATCTGATTTTATTTGTGTGAAAAGTGTTTTGTAATTGTGTTCATAGAGTTTCTGGGTTTGTTTCAGGAGGTAGACTCCTAAATATTTTATAAGGTGTACAGTAAGTTTAAATGGAATTTCTCTTTCTATCTCTTGCTGTTGGGCTTTGTTGGTAATATATAGAAATGCTGATGATTTATGTGGGTTTATTTTATAGCCTGCAACTTTGCTAAAGTTGTTTATTATTTCAAGTAGTTTTTTACTTGATTCTCTAGGATTCTCTAAGTATATCATCATGTCATCTGCAAAGAGTGATAGCTTTGTTTCTTCTTTGCCTATTCTAATACCTTCAATTTCTTTTTCTTCTCTTATTGCTAAAGCTAAGGTTTCCAGTACAATATTGAATAACAGTGGTGATAATGGACATCCTTGTTTCACCCTCGATCTTATTGGAAATGCTTCTAGCCTGTCCCCATTACATATAATGCTTGCTGAAGGTTTTAGATAGATGCTATTTATTATTTTAAGGAAGACTCCATTTATACCTATGCTTTCTAGTGTTTTTAATAGGAATGGGTGTTGTATTTTATCAAAAGCTTTTTCTGCATCTATTGAGATGATCATGTGGTTTCTGTTGGTTTTGGTGTTGATATGCTCAATGATGCTGATAGTTTTCCTAATATTGAACCAACCCTGCA